GCTTGCCACGGAAGCGCTTATTCTACTGAGCCATCTCCCTGGCCCTCCCCTAAACTTTTTACATTTTATTTTATTTTGTTACCAGGGATCAAACTCAGGACCTTGCCCTTGCCAGAGCTCAATGTGCCATTGAGCTGTATCCCTTGTGCAAAACTTATTTTAGGCCAGGCAGAGTGTTGCAGACCTGTAATTCCAGCACTTGGGAGGCTGAGGCAGGAGGTTCTCCTGGGTTACATAGTGAGACCCTGTCTCAAACAAACGAACAAACAAAGAGCGGCAGGGGGCAGCTGGACCTCAGACCAGGAGGACAGGGCGAGGGTCCAGTTCTCCCAGCACAGCGGCCCCCACCTGGCCTCCGCGAGTTCTTACCCCCGTCCCCGTCCACGTCCTCTCTCTGTCCCCGCTCCCACAGGTCCCTCGTGTGGATCTGCTCGAAGACGCCGAGAGCCAGCAGCCAGGCCTGGCGGGAGCCCAGGTGGGCCACCAGCAGCTGCGCCATCTCTAGGGCGCCCGCCGCCTCCATGCGCCCGCGGGGGATCCCGCTCCGCCCGGCCCCGCCGCCGTCCCCACGTAGAGCTTGAACCGCTTCAGCTCAGCCGCCTCCAGCTCCTCCCGGTAGGCGCACAGGCGGCGCGGGCCCGATCCGGCCTCGGCCGGCAGCATGGGGCGTGGGGCGCAGGAGGCGGCTGTCCCCTCCAGCTTCAGCCTTGTGCCCACGCCGAGGAAGGGGAAGTGGAGGTTGGGAAACGAACATGGCTTTCACTTCTTGTGATTAGATTACAGGCGTGCACCATCAGCCGGCCCGCCCTGCCCTCTCCTCCTGTCCCTGCTCCCCGGCTGTGGTGGCCAATGGCACCTTGGAGCCGTTTGGGGGTGGATATTGGGGTGCCTGCCCGGCCCCTGTTTCCTGAAAGCAAAGGCCCCAGGGCCGCTGTGCGTCAGCCTGGTTCTTCCGTAGGGCGGGTGCTGGACTGGACCTACAACTGGGCTCTGCGCCTCGCCAGCCACCCCAGCAAAGGGGAAGCTGAGGCAGGCGAAATCCCTCCCCACTGCTTCGTCCGTTTGTTTCTGCCCAGGGCCCCTGCGGTCCCCCACCAGACCGGCTTGGTCTTGTGCCTCTTAGAAGCGGGGGACCCCGGCAGGCCTGACCAGTCCTGACTCTGTGAGGTCATCTACACCGGGACAGAGGAGCAGGGCCTGAGGACGTGGCAGGAGACAGGGTGGTGGTCATCAGGGACTGGGAAAGATGGGCCTTTACACCCACCAGGAGGGGGGGCAGGGGGTAGGGAGTGGTTTTTGGTTTTGCTTTAATTGTGGTAAAATGTATACTACTTAAAATTCACCATTTTAGCTTTGGGTATTTTTGTTTTGGTTTGTTTGTTGAGAACTGGTCTCACCAGGCAGATCAAGCTGGCCTGGAACTCATGGATCCTCCTGCCTCAGCCCACCCACCACCCACTCCCCCACCCACCCGCAGGTGCTCACAACTTGTACTGATCTGCCTGTTTACAGGCTCCCAAGAGCTGAGATTACAGGCGTGCACCACCATGCCCAGTCTCAATAGCCATCTCAGCGTATCTCAGCGTATCCCGGGTTC